AAAAGTCCAACTATATTATTATATTGTACATTTTAACGTATTTTCATTTTTTTTCTATTTTAAATTTTAAATTCATAATAACAAAAAAATTTCTGTGCAACACACAGGTAAAACACTATAGTTTTAAAAATACAATTTGATAAATATTATAAATTAATTAGTAGAATATCATTTCTGTTTATAATAATTAAAGAGAAAAAAATAAATAATTCAAATATTTGAACCAATGATTTCAAAATGAAATTAATATACTGTTACAAATAAATATAGGATGATTAAATTTATTTTAATTTGTTTTAATTTTCTTAATGAAATGAGTTTTCTTTATCAATTTTTTATGGGAGACTAAGGGAGCAAAAATTATACTGTGGACCATGGTCCACAAAGCTTTGATGATCATGGTCCAAAATAACAGACATTATAGTGTATCTAAACTGACACTGTCTTGGGTGTTATTTTTTATTATATTATCAAATGAAACTGCAATTGAATTGAAATGAAATTGTTGTTGTGTTGAAGTGAAACTGCAGTGTATAGATACAAAATAAAAATGAATAATACGGAGTAATTTCACATATTTGAATGTATAATGTCCAACGAAACTGTAGTTATATCAAAATGATATTGTAGTTTTGTTGAAATGAAACTGAAGTGCATATTTGATGCCTGGACCGCAATGCATTGTAGACCCCGGTCCACAGTATAATTTGCCCTAAGGGAGTGTTTGGGTTGTTGGAAAATATTTTAAAAATAAAAATACATAATAATAAAAAATAATTTTAAAATATTATTTTAACCCCTCATGACATGTGTAAATCTTATATTTTTTAAAAATACAATTTGATAAATATCACTAACAAATTAGTGCAATATCATTTTTGTTTATAATAATTAAAGAAAAATAAATAATTCAAATATGTAAACCAATGATTTTTAAAATGAAATTAATATACAGTTACAAATAAATATAACATGATTAGATTTATTTTAATTATTTTTAATTTTCTTAATGAAATGACTTTTCTTTATCCGCTTTTTATGGTTGACTAAGAGAGTGTTTGGGTTGCTGGAAAATATTTTTAAAATAAAAATACTTTCTAAAAAAATAATTTTAAGATATTTTTTAACCCCTAATAACATGTGTAAATCTTATATTTTTAAAAATACAATTTGATAAATGTTATAAATTAATTAGTACAATATCATTTTTGTTTGTACTAATTAAAGAAAAAAATAAATAATTCAAATATGCGAACCATTGATTTCAAAATGAAATTAATATACTGTTATAAATTAATATAGAATGATTAGATTTTCTTTAATTAGTTTTAATTTCTTCAATGAAATGTCTTTTGTTTATTAGTTTTTGATGATAGACTAAAGGAATGTTTGGGTTGCTGAAAAATATTTTAAAAATAAAAATACCTACTAACCAAAAATAATTTTAAAATATTTTTAACCCCTAAACATGTGAAAATTTTATATTTAAAAAAAATACAATTTTAATAAATATCATAAATTAATTATTTTCATATCATTTATGTTTACAATGAGAATAATTAGAGAAAAAATAACTAATTCAAATATGTAAACTAGTGATTTCAAAATGAAATTAATATACAGTTATTACAAATAAATATATCATGATTAGATTTATTTTAATTAGTTTTAATTTTCTTAATGAAATGATTTTTCTTTATCAATTTTTTTATGGGAGACTAAAGAAGTGTTTGGGTTGTTGGAAAATTTTAAAAATAAAAATAATTTTAAAACAGTTTTTAACCCCTAAACATGTGAAAATTTTTATATTTTAAAAAAGATACAATTTGATAAATATAATAAATTAGTTATTGCAATATCATTTATGTTTAGAATGAGGATAATTAGCATTCAAAAAAGAATGAGAATAATTAAAGAAAAAATAAATAATTCAGATATGTGAACCAATGATTTCAAAATAAAATTAATCTATACTATTAATAAAAGTAAATATAATCGGTGATATTATATTTTTTTTAAAAATGGAAAAATTGCTAAATATCTAAACAACAAATATATCTTCCATACAAATGAATTAGGATAAAAATTCATTCTTATAACTGAGTCGCTAGAGAACTAGCACGTTTGCCTAATTTATAAAAATACTAAATACTGATAAATAAAATCTCTAAAGTTACAGCACCGCATGCGTACATCTACACATTAACTATTAATTTTAGCAATTATTTGCTCAAATTCAAGCAATGATAACATCAAAACACATAAATAATCCTAACTATATATATCTTTAATTGCACCTATATAATATTTGATGTTCTAATTTAAATAATTATATATCGATCCAAATATTCTTAATATATTACAACAAATCAATTCCATGCATCGCACAGGCAAAAATACTAGTGATCTGATTATAAATTTTTATTAGTTTTAATATATTTAAAGGATGCACAATAAGTATTTTACATACAAGATCAATGAATGTTGCAACGGAGGCTATTTTTAAAATTTATTCATTTTCTGAATTTGCAATATTTATTACAACATTATATTGTTGTAGTCTCGACATCTTTTCAATGCGTCATTATCAGTGCATCTTTTGGATATATTAGAACAATACATGCACATTTGGCGAAGAGAGAGAAGACCTAGGAGCTTCTGGAAGAATGGAGTTATTTGTAGAAATATGAGACCCACGGAACAAAGTTCCCAGCCTCGCGCGCTATGTGTGAAGGTCGTAAGTGCACCCAGTGGGCGCGTCAGGCGCGCTGACCGGCACGCCCAACCGTGTTTATTTTAAGAAAAATGACACTTTTCCCCCCTGAGTTATATACTTATAGCACTTTTCCCCCTGAATTATTCATGTAAGCCCATTAGTCACCTCAATTATTATAAAAGTGATAGTTTTCCCCGTTGATATATTAAATTGACATTTCTACCCTTAAAGTAAACATTTTATTTATTTTTTCTTCTCCAACAAATTATTGCGTATACGTAGGGATGACCACGGTTCGGTTCGATTCGAACTGAACTGGACATTATTGCAATCGAATTGAAAGGTTCCGGTTATGATTCAGATCATAACCCAATATTTGGATTTCGGTTTATTAAAATTATGAATCGAAAAAACTAGATCCTGAACTGTAAACCGACGGTTCCGGATCCGGTTCACGGTTTTAAACCGTCTTTATTTTAAAATTTTATTTTTTATTTTAAAATAGTCTAAATTTAACAATAAATGTATTTTATTTTTTATTTTTTTTACTTCGCCGTCTTCATTCCTCACCCTATGTTAAGAATATATGTGAATGACATTCTCTATTGTTTATTAATCTGTTCTACATATGTTCTTGTCCGTGTTAGTATTTGATTGTAATTTCGTGCTAATTTTCGTCTTGTAAACACTATTTATCCTTTAATGTTATTAATTAATAAAATACAATTCATTCTCTCACATGGTATCAATAGTCATAAATCTCCTTTTCACAAAAAAAAGAGTCATAATCTCGTAATAAAACACAATTCATTAATAATACACTATATTAGCATCATCATCACTTATAACTTCTTCATAGGACATAGGATAGACTTCACTAACATAAGTGTAAATATCTAAAGAAGTGAGTATTGCGTTAGGTTTCCTCTCTTTAATTTCAATATTGATTTTTTCAATTGGGTCAAATAACCTATAACCTTTGTGGCATGTTTGGTTCTTAGAATAGGCTTGGAATGGAATAGCATTTTCAGTAATAGACATATTTATTTGTTTGGTAAAAACATCTATATTCCGATCCTAGGAACAATGTTCCTGGGAATGACCTTACTGGGAGCCTCCTAGTATTAGGCTACCACCACCACCGCCACTGCTACTACTGTCACTGTCACCGCCATCGCCACCATCGCCGCTGTCACTGCCACCACCACCACCACCGTCACCACCACCACCACCACCACCACATATTTTTATAAGGGTATTTATGTCTTTTAAAACACATTTCATTTCTATTCCTTAAACAAACCAAACACGGTAATATAATTTTTAAAGTCTATTCCTTCCGCGAACCAAACAATAGAATACAATTCCTATTCTATTCCTGTATTCTATTCCTTACCTATTTCATTCCTTATGTAATAGCATTCCTATTACCTCAAAATTTATTCCGTGAACCAAACGTGCCGAGTGTTCAGGATACCCAATAAACAAATTAAACATCTTTTTATTATAGCTTTTAACTTGTCTTTGCTAAGATCCGGGGATAAGAACATGTGTTAGACAACCCCAAACTCTCATATAATTCAACTTTGACGACTTCCCAAATATAATCAAAGTTCATACGGATAGTCTTTTCAATGACTTTTGAAAGTACCTTATTCAGAATGTGAACAACAACTAGAAGTGTTTCCCCCCAAAAGGAAGCAGGCAAATTTGCAAAAGCTAACATCAGTCAGTGAGACTTTTGATGATGTAATAAAGAGACAGTAAGCAAAGATAGCAGTAGAACTTGAGTAGCTATGCCCGGAATGTATTTTCCAACTTTCATATTGAAAACTACTCAATCAACGCACTTCAACCAAAAAGCAGACCGACATGTTAGAAATTCTGATTTCTGAAACTATGTGCATTCATTAGAGAAAAATGTTAGAAATTAGTCATTTTCATTTTCTTTTTTCAGTTTTGAAAAAAAATGAAACCATTCAGATTCAAATTACACATCAATTTGGTTTGCAATAGTTCGATTTCCACTTGGAGTTAGATGTGGTTTGAGGACTCAAACATTCTTTAATTCTCTTAGGCACATCATTATTTATTTATTTTCACTAATAATTTAAATTTAAAAATCTATACAACAAGTCTACAATGCATATTTTAAATTGAGAAAAGGGTCAAATAGACCATCGAACTTTACCTAAAAAGTCAATTAGGCCCTCAAACTTTTTTAAGTTGCAATTAGGTACATAAACATGTCAATTTAGTTCATCAAGACCCAATTACCTGTTAGTCACCTGCAATACCAGGTCATTGAAATTCCAACAATAAAAATGAACGATCGCCCAAAATAAAAATGGACGGAAAACAACCGTTGACGGAGCGGCGACCATTTTGGGTCCTCAGCTAAAACCATCTTAGACTCGTCCTTCACGTTGGGGACATCAAGAAAGGCATTGAAATTTCTCTCTTTATCCTTAAACAACCACATCTGATCTTGGTGGTGCAATCCTGTCAGGCCAGACAACATGTTTTTCAAATCCCCTGCAAAGAAAAATCATTACTTGCAATTACATTCTTGATAAGAGTGAAAAAATGGTAAACAGTAAATGAATTGTTACCAAAAGTAGCTTGGGAGCTGATATTGATTTCATGGTAAACTGACCCGTACTTAACCTGGACCAGGATGGTGGGTGGCGACGGGTGGTTATCGGAATCTGGGTTCCATTTCTGAACCAGCATTCCACCTGGCCGCATCTCCCACTCCTTTTTCTGCCGACGCCGGCGCTAGTTGAGCCATGGTTCCCGTCTTCATTCGCATAATCTTGATTTACTGAGAGCGGAGAGAGCGGAGAGAGCGGCGGTGTGATTTACTGAGAGCGGAGAGAGCGGAAGAGCTCAGATCAGAACATTGATTTCTCGTCGGCGCGATCTACAGAGCTGAAGGAGATGGCGACCAAAATGGTCCATTTTTATTCCGGCGGTCATTTTCTGTCCATTTTTATTGCCGGACCACTGCCGGAATTTCAGTGACCTGGTATTGCAGGTCACTAACAGGTAATTGGGCCTTGATGAACTAAATTGACATGTTTATGTAACTAATTGCAACTTAAAAAAGTTTGAGGGCCTAATTGACTTTTCAGGTAAAGTTCGAGGGTCTATTTGACCCTTTTCCCTTTTAAATTTATGAATATAAAACAAGTCCAAACCGAGCCAACCTCTTCACCGGCGTCTATCATGCAACAACAACGTCCCAGACTTGCAAAGAAAAATTGAGAATAAAGAATAATTGTGAAAATTTGAGAGAGGGAATTGAGAATTTAGTGTGTGTGTGTATATATAGAAAAGTGGAGCATCATAAGCTTTAAACACACGCATCTTAAGCTATAAAACTACGCACATTAACCTTAAAACTTAAGCACCTTAAATTTTAAACTGACTAGAAAGTGACGCACCATGTTTTAATATACGTACCTTAAGCTATAAAACTACGCACCTTATGCTATAAAACTACGTACTTAAGCTATAAAAGTACACACCTTAACCTTAAATCTTAAGCACCTTAAGTTTTAAATTGATGCACCTTAAACTTTAAACATACAAACATTAAGTTTTGAACTTCTGCAAAATTACCATAATGACACCACGTTTTTTTTAAAAAAAAGTTCTCTTCAATCTGGCTTGTTGATTTTGACTAGATCAAGAGCTGAAATTAAACCTCATCTTTCACCTGCAACCTATTACTGCACCTAATCCTTTATATATATATATATATATATATATATATATATATATATATATATATATATATATATATATATATATATATATATATATATAGGGAAGGGATCAGGTGCATTTGGGGCTTCCCGTGCGGTTGGAAGCACATTAAGCATTAAACTGACACACTTTAAGTACATATTACACGCACATTAAAGCACACAAATAAAACACCTTCAGAACACAAACCCACACACATTAAGCACAAAATTCACGCACCTTAAGCATTAAACTGACGCATCTTAAGCACAAAATTCGCGCACCTTAAGCACAAAATTCATGCACCTTAAGTTTCAACACTACTCACATTAAGAACACAAATCTGACGCACATTAAGCACAAAAGCCACGCACCTTAAGCACAAAATTCACGCACATTAAGCACAAAACTCATGCACCTTAAAAGTTTGAACAATAACTCACATTAAGTACACACCCACGCACATTAAGCACAGAACTCATGCACCTTAAGCACAATACTTATGCACCTTAAGTACAAAGCTCACTCACATTAAGCAAAAAACTCAGAATACACTCATGCACAATAATCACAAACCCCACGCACCTTAAGCACAAGACTCACGCACATTAATCACCCGCACAACCGCACGGGAAGCATTCAACCGCACCTGAAGCTTTCAAAATATATATATATATATATATATATATATATATATATATATATATATATATATATATATATATATATTTGTGAAAGAGAAAGACTAAAAGTGGAATAACATTTTCCACTATATATTTATTTACTTTAATGAATTTACAATCATAGACGGAGCCGGGGGGCAGGGAGTCAGCTGCCCCCCTCACCCCACCCCTACCCTATATTGTATATAATATGTATATATAGTACATTATTCATATAAGTATTATAAAACAGATTATGTAAACAAAAGCTGTGATAGACAAGGTGGTAGCTAATGTGTATGAGTTTTAGAATGGCCTGAGTTAGAGTCTTTGCATTGACAATGTCACAGTCTTCTTCACTTTTTTGATTAACCCAATTAAATTTTGACATGATATATATAACTAACCCAATTAAATTTTGACATGATATATATAACTTCCATTATAACTTTCTCTATATTAATAATGGAATGTGTAATTTATAATGTGTTTTATATTCGAATTGTTTTATCAAATTAATTATGTTTCATATTTTGTTATAAATATTTTTATAAAGTTTTAATATGTTTTATTTTTCGCTATATCGAACAATATTTATTGTTATACTTTTTAAGTATTTCATTTTTTTTTAAACTTTCTCTTTTATTTTAATTTTTTTTCCCTCACTAAAAAAAATTTCTGAATCTGCCATTAAATTCATCCTTACTTCTTTGCCCCCCTCAACATATTTTCTGGCTCCGTCCCTGTTTACAATATTATTTTAAGGAATCTCACATGCAAATTATCCAATGAAACCGTTCTTGACTCCAGCGAGCGGTCCAGTTTTTGTCATCCCGTCGCTGAAGTTTTTGATTTTATTTTGTCAGTACCACTGGACAATATTTGAACACATTTATTCTCCACGCAGAAGCAGATATTTTCACGTTGTCAAAAAACATTCGTATTCTTACGTGACCATGCCTATATATACACATGCATGCATCTCCGATCCATCCATGTAGTATTGAATATTATATATTGAGACCAAAACATGCAGTCCAATAGTAGCATACCGGGACCAGCCCGGCATTTGAAGGAGAAATATCGGCTGGCGCAAATGAAAACCCTTTATCGTCGCCTCGTCTCTCTCGTCTCTACTGCTCAAAACTCTCTGGTATTAATATTACGTATCCTTTGATCAATGCTTATAAAGTGGACCATAACCCACCGCAGTTGTATCAACCATGCCTAGAGTAATACATTATTTTTGTATATAATGTTTATTATTTAAAAGTTTACAAAACACAGTGAAAACAGTTTGAAAGTTTATTATTTATTTGCATAAGATTCACTTCTGCTGTATATAAGGTTCATTATTTGTTGAATATCTTTTTTTTTTTTTTTTTTTTTTTTTTTTTAGAGTATAGTTGAACTTATTCAGCACACTCCACCATCTTTACTTAGAAATTTGATAGTCAATAAATCTAGATAGGATCATTATTTTTATGCATCAAATTTGTGCGAATGTATTTTGATGCATGGTTTACACTTGGTAAAATTTGCTGGGATTTGTGTGACCACACTGTTTTAGTAATTTCAAATTTTTCTAAGCGCACTTATTATAAACATAGTCTATATATGTTTGAATTGGTGAATGAATGAGTTGTTGTCGGCGTACGACAGAGAACATCGCCGGCGTTTGACGTGGTCGATCAAGCCACAAACTACATCAAACAACTAGAGAACAACGTTAATGATCTGAAAGCAAGAAAGGACTGTCTCCAACTAGCAGTTGAAATCGCGGTGAATGAAAGTGAGACAGGTGAAACTTTGGAGATAAATATAGTGTGTGGGTCGGAGAAGAAGAAGCTGAAGATGAGTAAAGTGTTTCAGATTCTCAAAGAAGAAGGCGTTGAAGTTGTGAGTGCAAGCAACTACACTGTGGATCTCAAGATCTACCATACGATTCTTTGCAAGGTAAAATAAATACTACAGGCATTTTCATCTCATCTGGATGGGTTGTATAAGCATCAGCTGATTCATCTATCTAACTGCAGGAAATTTAGGCCCTGTTTGGTAAATGGTGTTAGGTGTTAGTTGATTGGGTTAATCAGGGGTATAACTAGTTGATAACATTAGCTTATCGTAGAATAATGTTTGGTAAATTAGCTTTTAGCTGATAGCTGTTTGATATAATTTCTTTTCTCAAAAAGCTAATTGAAAAAGTTGTTTTGATAAACTTTTTAAATTTTAGCATTTTTGAATTACAAAAAGTTATTTAACCAAACAATTATGAGTTTTTAACCAAGTCAAACAATTAATAGTTGTCAAATAAGCCAAAATTGACTAATAAGCTAACAATTTTACCAAACAGGGCCTTAGTGTTATTATTAATTATTCTAATGTACTCGATCATGCATGTTTTTTCCACAAAAGTGGGAATTCCTTTTGCCCTCAGAGCCCACAGCTCAGTCAGATAGGTTAGTGGATGAGTAAATCACAGTGACTCAACAGGCCATTAGGTAGAAGGGCTAGTGTCTGGTGCCCACAAGGCCGGAGCCCATTATATATGGTGTGGATTATTATACCGTAGCCTAGGGTCCACTTGCATTGTGGACACATGTCAAAAAATTATGTGTTTGCAGTTGCCTTCAATTAATAAATTATGTGTATGTAAATAAATTTCAATTCACATAATTCATTAACTACATGCACATAATATGTTATCTGTAAAATCAAAATATGTCGCTATTAACATAGTTATGTGGTTCTAGTTAACAAATTATGTGCCTTTAATTTATTTAGAGGTACATAATAAATATGTTAAGTGTATACACATAATCTGAATGTCATTTTGGACCAAGGCAGGATTTACCATGCAAGGTGATTAGGTGAACTATGGTCCATGGTATAATTTGCTCATTAGGTGTAACTTTAACACTACGTGTGATTGAGCTCGATAATGTGTCCTTACTCATAATCTACCACCCAAGAATTGAACCAACTTAGTTGTCAATACCCCACACTCGATTATGCATGTTTTGGCAGGTTACGTTGCATCGTTGATTTATCTTTAGTTGTTGATTATGAGTTTGTTGATGAAAATGCTAATTGTTTTTCTTTATTTTTTGTTGAATAGGCATTTACACCTAGACTTGGAATGGATACCATTAGAGTGAAAGAACGCTTAAATAACTTTATTTCTAACAAATGATCATATCAAATGCCTTATCTTTTGGGACACAATAAGTGCGGCTTTCAAGTTTACTTAGGGCACATGGAGGCTAGCTGCTGTTATTTTTTCTTTTAATTAGTTTTATTTTTTTGCCTCTCATTTGGTTGTCTAAGACTCTTGTGATCGAGTTTTAGGGCCATTTTTCATTTAGGCCTTCATTGGCCCTTTTTTTTTTTTTTTTATTTTTTTTTTTTTATTTTTTTTTTTAATACGCTTATGTTTTTATACTTGTAATGGAAGGGTTTGTTCAAACTACTTATATTAGTACTAGTTTTTTACGCGCATTGCGCAATTGGGATAATGCCCAATGCTTTTTTTAAAATCACTACAAGAAAAGTGCACATAGACAACACTAGAAAGACAACAGTTATTAAGAAAAGTGTTGTCTTTTGTATAAAAGACAACAGTTTGGTCCAAAACCGTTGTCTTTGATGCAACATTTTTGTCAAAGACAACGGTTTTTATATAACCGTTGTTATAAGTGTGTTGTCTTTGTGCATATTGTGAAAAGACAACACCACAACGACAACGGTTTTTTAAAACCGTTGTCTATGTGCGTTTTTTTTTTTTAAAAAGACAACGGTTTTTTTAACCGTTGTCGTTGCTGTGTTGTCTTTAAGCACACTAGAATACACAACACTAAAAAGACAACGGTTGTTTAAAACTGTTGTCTTTGTGCGCTCTTTTTTTAAAAAACGACAACGGTTTTATTTAACCGTTGTCGTTTGTGTGTTGTCTTTAAGCGCACTAGAATACACAACACTACAAAGACAACGGTTTTTTAAAACCGTTGTCTTTGCGCATTATTATTTTATAAAAGACAACGGTTTTATTTAACCGTTGTCATTTATGTGTTGTCTTTAATAGCACTTGAATACACAACACTACAATGACAACGGTTTTATATAACCGTTGTCGTTGCGTGTTCTTTATTTGTTTAAGACAACGGTTTTATTTAACGTTGTCTTTGGTATGTTGTCTTTAAGCGTATTTGAATACACAACACTACAAAGACAACGGTTATAAAAAATCGTTGTCTTTGCGCATCATTATTTTATAAAAGACAACAATTGTATAAAATAAAAACAAGGATGTTAATAACAAGAGTTGAACCTATAACCTCAAACATAACAAATAAGATTTAACCAACTAAGCAACACAAACTCTTATATACCAAAGTGCAACATCTGGTATATAACTGGGTTGTCTATGAAAACCAAGACAACGATTTTATAAAATAGGTTAGGATGCCTCTAGGAAAAATGGAACCCAAAACTTCTAACATAATAAACTAAGCTAAACCCACCAAGCCACACCAACACTTGTGTATTTAAGTGCAACATCAAATATATAACAAGTTTGGTTCTATGTTGTCCCTGAGAACCAAGACAATGATTGTATAAAGTAGAACCAAGCTAAACCCACCAAGCCACACTAACACTTATGTATTTAGGCTAAACCCACAAAGTCACACCAACTCTTGTTTACTAAAGTGTTACACATTATCTTTTACCTATAATTTGGACCTTCATTGTTTTTGTTACGAGATGACAATAGATGTTTACAAGATCTAGAACAAAAATAAAAATGTAATTAATTTTTTTTTGTCCAAATATAATGCATAAAAATTTAACAAAGAAAGAATACAATTCAAAAGTTAATTTAATAGTTCTATTTTCGTTCATATTTAAATATAAAATTATTCACCAAAATTTCATTGTCAATTTATTAAAATTTTATTTTCAATTACAATTAAGACCAATCTATAAATTCAAATAATAATAATAATTATCATGTTGGTAATCGACCCTTCCGACATGCATGGGACAGGTGGAGAATGGATATGAAAGCAATCATTATTGCATGGACCATGGTCCACACAATTGTGTGGACCATAAATAAAAAGTACATTTTTAATATACTAAGGGTACATTATTTATGTACGTAAGGTACATTTTTTGAAAGTATATTTTTAATATACTAAGGGTACATTATTTTACATAATGTACCTTCAGTACAAAAATAATGTACCTTTAGTACAAAAATAATGTACTTTTAATATATTAAAAATGTACCTGATATTCATGGTCTACACAATTGTGTGGACCATGGTCCATGCAATAATTTGCCATATGAAAGAGTAGTTGATGTCGTACAGTTAGCTATAACTCATTTCTTTTGCCGTGATCTTTGTAATAATTGGGCCGCCAGCTGTCTGGGTAATAAATCTCTGGGTAATAAAGGGCAAATTATGTTGTGTAACCGTGTGCACCATGCATGGTGCACAATGTTCTATGTTCATAATTACCGAACTATATATTCATAATTTTTTTGAAATTCATATTCATAATGAATGAACTCTATATATTCACAATTACAGAACTCTATGTTCATAATTTTCGATGTTCATATTTCCAATTGTTGAACTCTGTATTCACAGATCACAGAACTATATGTTCATAATTTGATAACCATGAATATACTTATTTAATTTAGAAAAAATGAAGGCTTATTATAAAATTAAAATAAAATTTCGTTATTTTCCTTATTACGGAGTATATTAATACATAGTATATAGTATATTGTATATGTTATGTTATTTCCCTCTTTGCAAAATAAAAACAATTCATTCAATTCTTTCCCTCTTTGCAAGTTTTAACTTAGTGCGAATTTTTCCCTCTTTGCAACATTTGCCTTCAACAATTCGACCGTCGAATTTCTCTCCATTGCAAATTTTCTCCTTCGACAATAACACCGACTAACACCGTCGTTCCCAGTGCTCTCACCGCCTCCAACCACTACAAGAAAAACAATTTTTAGTGACAAAAAATTAGTGACGGGTAAAAATATCCATCACTAAATGTATTATTTGCCTAGCTTTTGTAAGGGTTAAAAATTACTCTACTTAAAAATTTATGAGTTAGTGACGAAATTTACATTTTATAATTATTTTAAAAATTTACTCTCGCTATTAGTACAAAAGCTATTGTTACTCTCGCTATTGTTATTTGAAAATTATTTTATTACAATCTAATTTTCACCAAAATTTTGTATTTGGCGGCTTGGCGCCGTCTTTAAGTCTTGTACATAAAATTCCCCAAATCCCCCAAAATTCCCCAATTCTGAAAATCCCCTCCACCTTCGTCCGTCTGAACACAGCCAAGCCCTCCGTCCTCCATCCGTCCATCCTCCGTCCATCGCGGCTCCACCGTCCACTGCCAACCGCGCGCCTCTCTGGACGACTGGATTCCACCCTCGGCGAGTCGGCGAACTCCGGTCACTCCCTCACGCCCTCCGGTTTCTCCATAGTCCGTCCTCCAACGCCTTCTGGGCTTCCGCCTTCCGGCCTTCACTCCTCAAATCAGTCCTCTCACCGACTCACGGTCCTCACTCCTCAACCGGCGGTGCAACCCCTCAGCCAGGTATTTAATTTTTTTTTCTCTGTTAATATTTTGTTAAATGTTTAATTAAATAAGTAAATTTTTATGTGTTATTGTTAATTTTGAGTGTTGAGTGTGGTGTTGCATTGTTTTAAATCCCTCTACCAGTGTTATTATATTGTTTACGCCATTGAAGATTTAGTTCGTTAGCATTAAGGAGACATTCACTTCTGTCCCTTCATCCCACCACCTCAGGTGTTTTCAAATATTTTACCTTCCTATTTCTCTGATTTTTTTTTAAGGGAATAAGGCAAGAAATTCTTTAATGCAGCTTTACCTTACTACTTTTCCTATTCTGTCATTGGTTTCATGTTGCTTCTGGTTTGATATCTGCTGCAGGTAGCCAAGACTTTTGAGTTTAGTTTGCAAATATGTTCTCAATACCATCAAGATCTTGCAAATATGTTCTCAATACACTTATGCAGGCAATTTCCTTTTACCATTCACTAACCTTCTCTTGACTTTATAGAAATACTTTAGGTTCGGAAGGCACGAACTGGGTGGGACAGATTTTTGTTTTGGAATAATCTGTGTATCTAAACTGTTTTCCTTTGATATCTTCATGCAGACTTTTCAAAGTAAAAATCTTGCTCATGCTGCCAAGGAGAGCACTGTTCCTATACTTATTACTGAGCTTTTGCTCTGGCTTCTAGATGAAAGGGTTCCACGAATGGATGATGGTAGTCAGCTTCTGAAAGCCTTGAATGTTCTGATGCTTAAGATTTTGGTGAGTCTGCTTTTGGAAATTTAGTGATTTTATTCTTGTGTCTTAACTATAATTGGTTGGTCATATTCTGCATGTTCTATAATGCTGATCGAACAACATCATTCGTTGTGCTCATCAATCTTTTACGGCCTTTGGACCCATCAAGGTAGCCATCTCCAACAGCAAATGAGTCCCTAGCTGTTAGAAATCAAAAGTTCTCCGTTGGTTGTGAAATGTCTTATCAAACTTACCAAGGTGATCCTCTTGTAATTGTTATCAGTGGTGACTTCTGATTGTCATCTATTTGGAATATACTCTTAGGAACGTATTGGGTTAGAATAAATCTTTTAAAGCATTACACATTCATTTAATATTGCATTTATTATATGCATATACATGTATATATTATCACATATTTGTGTAATTTTTTTGGTACTATTCTTAATAGGTAATTTGTTTAGCTCTGTGTTTCAAGTGAACTGTGTGTAGAGTTTTAGTAAGGATTAAAAGCTCTAATGGGTAGTTATTCTTTTTTTATGGCTATTTGTTAATTAGTATATATTTATAAACCTTTTCTGTGGGAAATCTCCAATTTGCTTCATTATAATATTTGGCAACTAAGCAAAAAAACTAATTTTTTTTCCCCTAAAATTTTCTCAAGTTTTGCCTCAGATGGGAATTGCTTTGATCTTGTCATTGTATGATGTTGATCAATTTTTCTTGTATTTAGTTTAAGGCTCATCATCTATGTTACTTAATGAACTGACTTGTAGTATTGTTAGAATTAGTATGAGAAACTTTCTTGGTAGTTGTGTTTGATACCCCAATGGTAAGAACCACCTTGGATTGCCGGAACATCTCTCTTTAGTTTTCTCAAGTGAGACTAGACAGTCGAGGAGTATTGCACAAGTGTAAGGTGGCAATCTTCACGTGATTCTTTCCCTTGGGAAGGTATCAACCATATAAGTATTAGGAATAGTAATATACATTTTATGTATTAGAGGTTTACAATTCTCTGAATCATTTTCATATGTTATAGGTTCTCCAAAGCACCATTTATGAGGTTGACCTACACCGAATTCTTCAAAGCATTCACATATACCTACAAGATCTTGGTATGGAAGAAATCAGGAAGAGGTATGTACAGACATAGTAAATAGATTGCATGATTATTCTTATTTGTCTGGAATTTTGGTATATCTTGCTGAATGCTTGGCTCTGCTTCATTAATTAAATATTTTCTTCGGGTTTTGGTTTGATGGATTACTTAGAGCTGGAGCTGATGACAAACCATTACGAATGGTAAAAACAGTTCTACACGAACTTGTTAAGCTTCGTGGTACTGCCATAAAGGGTATGCTATATGCATGCTAGCTATCACAAAATACTATAACTTAGCGACGAAAAGTCTATTTTTTTCTTTTAGTTCATTCATTTCGATCATGCAGCATGCAGCTAATTTAATTATTTAATTTAATTTGCAGACAATGAAATTTACAAGTGCAAATGTGAGAGTAGTGATGATACTCTCCTCTACCTTTACCATAGAGAGGACATGTCAGAACTGCTACTCACTGCAAACAAGTTTGAGGTTGATGATGATGCAATACATCAACAAGTTGACCAACAAATCAATGCTCACTCCTGCTTGCAAACCATAAGAACATGCCGGACATTGATGATAAAGATTCTGCTCAAGCACTGGTAATACATTTCATTTCTATTTCGTGTTTAAAATTATTCTGATTTGAATGTTTCAAAGTGGAAATATGATGCATTTGATGCTCCAGACTTCGATGATAAAAATTCTGTTCAAGCACTGGTATTACATTCCATTTCTACTCTCTCTTCCTTGTTTCTTGCTGTTATTTAATTGCAGAATGGTTCTAGGTTTTTAATGCTTTGTTAGCTTGGGTTTAAGCCTCTCTCTTTTTCACTTGATTTGGACAGTTATTGATGATAAATTTGATTTTTATTTTTTATTTTTTAGAATATATAAGTTTGTTGCTCTGAAATTTGGGTGTAGAATGCATGTGAAAGCTCGAAATTTTGGGCATTTTAGTGCTTGATGTTTTGTAATTAATAAGGGATTTCTTTGTCGTTTGTGTTTAAGTTTCATGCATTATATTCTCATGAGATTTTATCTGAATTGTTTATCAAATTTGGGTGTCTAATAATCTCTCAAAGACTTGAAGGCTAAGACAAGAACCTGAATCCTGTGTATCTGATTTGTTAACATTTTTTTTTGGGAGTGCATTTGTATTGCTTTTTTCAAGTGTCTTTCTTTACTTGTTGGCTACACTTGTTATGATTCTCTTTAGGGAACTCATTATCTTGTTATGAACACCTTGAGTATGAATGTGGTGAGAGTAAGAGGGCAGTTTCATTTCATTGCAAATTATTTATATCTATACTAATTTATTTTCTTACTTTTTACATGTAGTTTCAACAAGTTGATTATGACAAAGCGGTTATTGATCTGGTGCGATCTGAATGGGCCGATATTCTATCAAGTCACATAGAGTAGGTATGATTTGGTCATTCGAACGTTGTGATCATTTGGACTTGAATTGGTTCGGGGAATTGTTTTTTTGTGTAGTAGTATTATGACTTGGATGATAATTAGAATTGGTCATGGAAGTCTTTTGACTTGTTATTTTGAACCTTATTAGCTTGTGCACAATTATGTAACTACACTTTGCAACATATGGTGAATGGATAAATTGTTTTTTTTTTATACGATTATAATTTAAGCAGGTGAAAAACGGTTAAAAACCGTTGTCTATTTTACAATAGACAACAATTATAAACCGTTGACTTTTCTACAAAAGACAACAGTTTATGGGTGTGACAAAAGCGATTTCAACAACACACAATAGACAACGGTTTATAACTGTTGTCTTTTAAAGAAAAGACAACAGTTAAAAACCGTTGTCTATGTACGTGACTTTTAACAACACTGGTTTTAACAACGCTTAATAGACAACGGTTAAAAAACCGTTGTCGTTGGTAGAAAAGACAACGGTTATTAACCGTTGTCTATTGCGTGACTTTTAACAACACCGGTTTCAACAACACTTAATAGACAACGGTTAAAAAACCGTTGTCGTTGGTAGAAAAGACAACGGTTAATAACCGTTGTCTATTGCGTGACTTTTAACAACACCGGTTTCAACAACACTTAATAGACAACGGTTAAAAAACCGTTGTCGTTGGTAGAAAAGACAACGGTTAATAACCGTTGTCTATTGCGTGACTTTTAACAACACCGATTTCAACAACACTTAATAGACAACGGTTAAAAAACCGTTGTCGTTGGTAGAAAAGACAACGGTTAATAACCGTTGTCTATTGCATGACTTTTAACAACACCGGTTTCAACAACACTTAATAGACAACGGTTAAAAAACCGTTGTCGTTTCTAGAAAAGACAACGGTTATTAACCGTTGTCTATGTGCGTGACTTACAACAACACCGGCTTCAACAACACTTAATAGACAACGGTTAAAAAACCGTTGTTGTTTCTAGAAAAGACAACGGTTAAAAAACCGTTGTCTATGCGCGGGACTTACAACAACACCGGCTTCAACAACAGAAACTATACCCCTACGACAACGGTTAATAACCGTTGTCTATGTGCATTTTTCTTGTAGTGAATAAGTACTTTAAAGTATATTAAGACAGGATTATATTGAAATTGTTCATGCATAGATAATTGAAGGTTGAATTTGCGTATTTAAATAGGTAATTCTTCTCCCAAAGGTTGAGTCCCCAACCCCAAGGGCCCCCCACACTCCGACCCGACAGAGCATTGTGGGAAGTTGTAACGGTGACTCAATGGTTCAGCAGACAGGGCCAAATGCTGATACGCACAAGGAATCTGCCCACTTTGGACATAATTCCCGCACTGCCGCCGCCGAGGTTCAAACCTTCGTCTCTTCTCCCAAATACTACCCACTAAACCATTGAGCTAAGCCCGTGCGGGTTAAATAGGTAATTCTAAGTTTACAAATGCAAGATAATATAGTCAAGATTGATTATAATATAATTGTCAATAAAATAATTGTATAGGTATCGTTGAAACCAAATACGGGACATAAGGGAGAACAAATAAAAATTAGGACATAAAATATTAAATATATACTAATATTGTTTGAGGAGATTCCGACATTAGGATTTGTGGTTAAGTTCTATTAAGACTTTAATATTAGAATTAGATTAATGGTGTAGTTATAATTCTATATTAGACTTTAATATTAGAATTAGACTAACGGTGAATTAACGGAAAAGTTAAATGGATAATCATATAATTAAGGATAAATTAGAAAATCTTAAAAGAAAAAATTAAAACCTGAACAATATGAACCATTCATTTGATTTAATAATTTGGCGGTCATTTTTTCTACCCAATGTTAATAATTAAATAAATTCGCTGGTCAAATCCGCTAGTATAATCCGCTAACGTTAACCGCTAACTGCTGATTGTCAAACAAGGACATTACGAGGTAGTTCTCACTTCAATTTGTTGTGTGATTTGAATACTCTCGTTGTCACAAAATCTCTCAAGTAGTTAATATGGTTGACTTTATTAATTATATTTTTTTAATTTTTTCATGGTATTAATAAAATACTTGGTAAATAAATATATAGCATTATTTTGTATTATAACTTTGATATTTAATTAGAAAAATAGTGCACAAAAAAAGATAATAGATAATGTAGTGAATATAATCAATTGATGAATTTGAATGTAAAAATTTTTACATTTGAGAAAAATGAAGACAATATAACTAATGAAAATATTTCTTTTAATTAATTTATTGATAATTAATAAATTTTTTTTCACTGAATAAAGACATTGTATGGATAATGTAGCGAATATAATCAATTAATAAAGTTGAATATAAAAAATTTTTATATTGAAGAAAAATAAAGACAATATAACTAATAAAATTATTTCTCTTATTTAATTGATTGATCATGAATAATTTTTTTTTTTTTTGAATAAAGGCATTGTGGACACATAATTCTAAATTAAAGAAATGCATATGTATTATTTTTTGTTGTAACTACTAAATTATTATTTTTATAATTTAATAAGAGTAAAATAGAGTACTAATTATGCCAACTTTGATTAGGATGAGGTTCGAACCTAAGACCTTTTTTTATTGAAATCAATGAGTAAGTTAACGGTGAACTAACGGCAATTCTTAAAATTTTAACGGAATTAGTAACGGTGTGTGGGTATTTTAGGAACTTTTAGTGTAAAATTTAAATCTGATCAATCTTTTAATTAATCTGGGCCATTCATTTGATTAAAATCTGTGACCGCCATTTTTTATACTCATTATAGGTCTAACTCTCTTGGGCTCTTATTAGTATATATATATATATATATATATATATATATATATATATATATATATATATATATATATATAGTAGATAGAGAAGTTGATTTTTCCACTAAAATGATGTGGAAAGTATGATCTATACACATGTTATATGAAATATCTACAATGCCTTTTTTTTTTTTTTTTAAGGAAAATTTGTAATTTATGCCCCTCACAAATATGCTAATTATCAATATCATCCCTAAACTATTAGTGGTATAAAAGTTGTCCCTCAATTTTCAAAACGTGACATATACACTACTGGAAATTATTGAATTTCCGACCACCTGAAAGTGATCTTAAATCAAGTCAAAAGCAAAAACTGGTTAGAAATAGCAACAAAGGTTTTTCCGGATACCAAAAGTGATCGGAACAAGGCTATCAACTTGATTTAAGATTACTTTCAGGTGGTCGGAAATTCCATAATTTCCAGTAGTGATATTGTCACCCCCTCCCCTCCCTAAATTATTAGTGGTTAAATGTGATTACCCGCTGTTTTCCGTGTTCGAATATCACATTTTTTCTTCCATTTATCTTTCTTCGTTTGTTCTCCTTCCGGCGATAACAATGTTTCTGATCTCATTCTTCCTATTAGGGGAGGGACAATATATGTCATGTTTTGAAAATTAAAGGACAACATTTACACCACTACTAATTCAGGGGTGACATTGATAATTAGCATATTTGTGAAGGGTATAAATTACAATTTTCCCTTTTTTAATGCTTTCTGTTATTTTTTTTTTCTATTAAAAAGAAGTCAATAGAGATGACATTTTTGTTAGACCATTTGTTTCTCCTTTTCTAAATCTAATATAGAACTAAAATATACTTACTCTTTCACATCATGTTTGGTTCACGGAATGAGTTTTAAGAATACTATTTCATATATGAAAATGAAGTACACAATGA